TTAAAAAATGAAAAGAATAATAGTGCGTACGTTGTAAAACTTCAGAATTCAAGGACAGATTCTTTTGAAAAAGGGTGTACATTATAAAGTTAATGGCTTACACCTTCACTAATTGCAGGTAATAATTAATAAAACGTGTAGAAGAATGTAGAGTTTCTTGAAGATTCAACAAGTGTAGAAATTATTTTCGTGGTAGGAGAAGAAGGAGAATGTCAAAGTTAAGTACAATTTTATTTGATTGGTCAATTTCTCAATAGATTTGCATGTTACAGCTGCCACATGTTAAACAAAAGAAAATTAAGAATGAATATATTCCAAGCATAAGTAATTCAAATAATATTTTTATATGTTTTATAAAAGACAAGTCTCTTAGAAACAACACAATAAGGACATATTGTGGGATGGAACACATGCAAGGAAATGCCTTTTAATCAGGCTTTGGATTAACAAATGTGTATTTTGATGGAGTAGAAAAAATCATTATAGCTTATGGCAAGATTTAATCAGTCTCATTTACGTTACTTATCTTTTGTCATAAATAATCAAGTGCACAAGTGATTAAATAGACCTATAAATAATTGTCAATTCCATGGGCGAAGCGACGGAGCAGTTTACACTGTGCTAAGCGTCATACGATAATGTGTGTGTGTGTGGGGGGGGGGGAGGGAAGGGGGGTTACACTTTTAGTTTCCAAAGCATTTTACTGCACTCCACTTATGCTTGTAGCGAGGGAAAGCAAAATGATATTCATTTTTATAATGGCATGTATGTGTACGAACCTCGTTTAATTGAACGAAATGCGGAAAACATTGCTATCCCTTGGTACCGCGAAGTTGCGTACTGAAATCTGGGAACTTCAAATAAAAGATGTCGGCACCTATTCAATAAATATATTCTGGTACAAATTATTTTTAAAACACATATTTTATTTGCACACATTTTAAAAATTATACGGCATAATTCATTTAAAAAGGCCAACCGCACTTTTCTTTTTTTTATTGGAACTCGCAAACAAGCTTGTAAAATGTTGACCATACAAATAATTATTGAAACCAGCCTGAGAATGTGGCTCTGCTTCACATCTTACTTACCTTGGAACAAACAGTCCAGTATGACGTTAACACATGCACTTGATAATACTTGTGATAAGTAGAAGAAAAGTGAAATACCTTTGTCCTGAATTCCCCAGTTGAAATATCTAGGGCAATCTGCTGCGTTTTATGCATTTACTTTTGAAATAACATCTTCGTTAATTGAACTGAGGTAAAAAAAAACAAAACAAAGAAAATATCTATAACGAGTTTTGAAACATTTTTTACGCGCCCTCATTGTTTTCTTTCATTTTGTCTAATTATCTTTTTTTAATTTAAGTCTAATGTGATACAAATTGACGGGGTTTGCAACAGTTTCACATTGTTATGGTGGAAATTCTACATTCTTCATTCAATGATTATATCGGACTTTTTACCTCCTTGTCGGTTTCACCCCTGTTTGTCTGTCTGTCTGTCTGTCATCAACATAAATAAAAACGTTGATGAAATTTTCAGGAACCGTCAGAAAAGGGCCATGGAACAGGGTATTAGTTTTTGGTGGTGATCTAGATCAATAATCAATCAATTATCAATAATAAGTGATTTTCTAGTTTACAAGTGTCTCTAATCAGGCGCATATGATACATTTACACCGATACCCCCACCACACACACACACACACACACACACACGAAATCATTTAATGGGATAAAATTTCCAGAATTGTTTTTTTTTTTTTTTTTCATCTTTCAGGGAGTGGTGTTTGTATTGTTGCTCCCCATTATGTTCCTCTGTCTGCAATCTCCAGTTTTAAAGTTGACTGAAGTCATGCAATAATGAAAATCACGAAGTTCATTTTTTTATTATGACTTAAGTTTCGATCGTGTCCCTAATAGAACACACTAGTACTATACATATATAATCTTTAGCCTAGAGAAGTGCTTACATTACGTAAAGCGACTTCCAGCCGCACTGATTCAGGCTATTACGCTCACTCACGTGCTTACGTATCAACCTACACCTCCCCCCCTCCCCCTTGTCCTGTTTTCATACCTGAAAACCGTGCACAATTCTTAAGCTGGAATGCAACAGCACACATTTTCTTTTACAAGGGGTTATGTCAATACATCTGTGTACTTTTCCATCAGCAGCTCTATTTAATAAGATACCCAAGCTAGGTCACAGAAAATTGCTTACACTGTAGTGACGGAATTAGTGTGTAGGTGAATATGAACGGCTTAAAAGCTTAACCAAGTAAGGCTGCGGCAGTGGAAGATCATACATGTATTTATCAATTGAAGAATAAGAATCAGATGACTGCGCGACGCTGAAACATTTTATGACGCAGCACCGCAGCTGTATTTATGTCAATAATATTACCTGACAACTAGCGACGGGCCCCATTTTGTTCGCCTTACCAGAAAAAAGTATTGACGGAAATCAAGGACAAAAGTCATTTTAAAGACTTAATATAAAAGAAAAACTATCCTGGGAAAGTGAAAGTCAAAGTACTTCTGAGCGAGAATTCACCGCACAAAGAAACCCACTGACATTGATCTGCTGAGTCGGGACGAGATTGTTTCGATGAAAACTTTTCATGGATTAGGTGTGAAATCGACCGCTGGAATTTTGATGATTTAGAGGTACAGTATGAGACGTAACTGTAACTGTTTTCAAAGATGATATTACAGGTCCACAATTTATAATATTCTTATTTTGAGTTTCAATTTAAATATTGCGAACGTATAACCACAACAAAAAAAAACTATAATCGCGATCACTGCATGTTCCCTGAAAGTCACTAAGCGTACACTCTAGGTTCTAGCTCGATCTTGATTTCATATATAACACATATCAGCAATATGGAACTCTAGCCACTAGCGGCAGATTGAGGGCGTTTGTCAAAATTTTGCCTGGGTCGCTTCCATATTTGGAAGTCACAAGTCTTGTACGTCCCAGCTGTATCCGCCTGAGCTCCATATTTGTAAGTCATAAGTCTCGTACATGTACCGTGTAGCTATTAAAAAACAAGACTACTGGTACGCGTTTAATCGATAACTGATTTAATACTCGTCAGATTACCATCCACCCCCTTCCTTATGAATAGGTATTACTTTATTAATACAATGCAACCAACGTGTAGCCGCATGTTAGAAGACAATGTGTGACTACGCACTGCAGTATGAGGCCGCTACCCCTTCCCAGCAAGGAGTCAACTAAGCCGCAAGTTAGAAGACAATGCGTGATTACTAACAGCAGTAGGAGGCCGCTACCGCTCCCCAGCAAGGAGTCAACACAGCAGTGCGTAACCCGGGCTTAATTAGGGGTTTTTAGTCGTCCACTTATGATCGGTATTGTTCGTCTTGATTGCAGCACACTTCCTACTCACTATTGGTTCGCCCGCCTCTTCTTTAAATGCTCTCTCAAACCTTTCCTCAGTCAGCCGAGAATGGAAACACGTTTATCTGCCGATAAACTTCGTCGTTGATGTATT